ATGTAACTATCATATAGAATAGTGTAGCAACACTGCTAGTGTTCCCACAATGTAACTATCATATAGAATAGTGTAGCAACACTGCTAGTGTTCCCACAATGTAACTATCATATAGAATAGTGTAGCAACACTGCTAGTGTTCCCACAATGTAACTATCATATAGAATAGTGTAGCAACACTGCTAGTGGGTTTCCCACAATGTAACTATCATATAGAATAGTGTAGCCCAACACTGCTAGTGTTCCCACAATGTAACTATCATATAGAATAGTGTAGCAACACTGCTGGTGTTCCCACAATGTAACTATCATATAGAAAAGTGTAGCAACACTGCTGGTGTTCCCACAATGTAACTATCATATAGAATAGTGTAGCAACACTGCTGGTGTTCCCACAATGTAACTATCATATAGAATAGTGTAGCAACACTGCTAGTGTTCCCACAATGTAACTATCATATAGAATAGTGTAGCAACACTGCTGGTGTTCCCACAATGTAACTATCATATAGAATAGTGTAGCAACACTGCTGGTGTTCCCACAATGTAACTATCATATAGAATAGTGTAGCAACACTGCTGGTGTTGCCACAATGTAAGTATCATACAATGTAGCAACACAGTGTGTTTCCAATTGTGTTAAACCTGATCCTTAATTGTTAAACCAGATTAAGGTTGTTAAACCAGAGCGAGATCGTTTCTTAAGTGGTGGTGGTTTACGACCCAGCTGTAACAACTGTAGTTAATTAGCTAAAACAAAGTTTATTGGACGAGGAGAGCCAATAGCAGCTGTCCTGATTGTCTGTGTTGCACTAACATACACGCTGGTTGCATGCAACATACACACTGTTTTTGTTCAATGGTCACAAAAAGTTTATTTGTGCCTTACTGCAAACAAGTCTTAATGACCCTGGTGTAGTAGATAGACTTTAAACCCCATTAACCAACCAACCAGTCTTAATGACCCTGGTGTAGTAGATAGACTTTAAACCCCATTAACCAACCAACCAGTCTTAATGACCCTGGTGTAGTAGATAGACTTTAAACCCCATTAACCAACCAACCAGTCTTAATGACCCTGCTGTAGTAGATAGACTTTAAACCCCATTAACCAACCAACCAGTCTTAATGACCCTGGTGTAGTAGATAGACTTTAAACCACCATTAACCAACCAACCAGTCTTAATGACCCTGGTGTAGTAGATAGACTTTAAAACCCCATTAACCAACCAACCAGTCTTAATGACCTGTGGTAGTAGATAGACTTTAAACCCCATTAACCAACCAACCAGTCTTAATGACCCTGGTGTAGTAGATAGACTTTAAACCCCATTAACCAACCAACCAGTCTTAATGACCCTGGTGTAGTAGATAGACTTTAAACCCCATTAACCAACCAACCAGTCTTAATGACCCTGCTGTAGCAGATAGACTTTAAACCCCATTAACCAACCAACCAGTCTTAATGACCCTGTGTAGTAGATAGACTTTAAACCCATTAACCAACCAACCAGTCTTAATGTCCTGGTGTAGCAGATAGACTTTAAACCCCATTAACCAACCAACCAGTCATAATGACCCTGGTGTAGTAGATAGACTTTAAACCCCATTAACCAACCAACCAGTCTTAATGACCCTGGTGTAGTAGATAGACTTTAACCCCATTAACCAACCAACCAGTCTTAATGACCCAGGTGTAGTAGATAGACTTTAAACCCCATTAACCAACCAACCAGTCTTAATGACCCTGGTGTAGCAGATAGACTTTAAACCCCATTAACCAACCAACCAGTCTTAATGACCCTGGTGTAGTAGATAGACTTTAAAACCCCATTAACCAACCAACCAGTCTTAATGACCCTGGTGTAGTAGATAGACTTTAAAACCCCATTAACCAACCAACCAGTCTTAATGACCCTGGTGTAGTAGATAGACTTTAAACCCCATTAACCAACCAACCAGTCTTAATGACCCTGGTGTAGTAGATAGACTTTAAAACCCCATTAACCAACCAACCAGTCTTAATGACCCTGGTGTAGTAGATAGACTTTAAACCCCATTAACCAACCAACCAGTCTTAATGACCCTGGTGTAGTAGATAGACTTTAAACCCCATTAACCAACCAACCAGTCTTAATGACCCTGGTGTAGTAGATAGACTTTAAACCCCATTAACCAACCAACCAGTCTTAATGACCCTGGTGTAGTAGATAGACTTTAAACCCCATTAACCAACCAACCAGTCTTAATGACCCTGGTGTAGTAGATAGACTTTAAACCCCATTAACCAACCAACCAGTCTTAATGACCCTGGTGTAGTAGATAGACTTTAAACCCCATTAACCAACCAACCAGTCTTAATGACCCTGGTGTAGTAGACTTTAAACCCCATTAACCAACCAACCAGTATTAATGACCCTGGTGTAGTTGATAGACTTTAAACCCCATTAACCAACCAACCAGTCTTAATGACCCTGGTGTAGTAGACTTTAAACCCCATTAACCAACCAACCAGTATTAATGACCCTGGTGTAGTTGATAGACTTTAAACCCCATTAACCAACCAACCAGTATTAATGACCCTGGTGTAGTAGATAGACTTTAAACCCCATTAACCAACCAACCAGTCTTAATGACCCTGGTGTAGTAGACTTTAAACCCCATTAACCAACCAACCAGTCTTAATGACCCTGGTGTAGTAGATAGACTTTAAACCCCATTAACCAACCAACCAGTCTTAATGACCCTGGTGTAGTAGATAGACTTTAAACCCCATTAACCAACCAACCAGTCTTAATGACCCTGGTGTAGTAGATAGACTTTAAACCCCATTAACCAACCAACCAGTCTTAATGACCCTGGTGTAGTAGATAGACTTTAAACCCCATTAACCAACCAACCAGTCTTAATGACCTGGTGTAGTAGATAGACTTTAAACCCCATTAATCAACCAACCAGTCTTAATGACCCTGGTGTAGTAGATAGACTTTAAACCCCATTAACCAACCAACCAGTCTTAATGACCCTGGTGTAGTAGATAGACTTTAAACCCCATTAACCAACCAACCAGTCTTAATGACCCTGGTGTAGTAGATAGGCTTTAAACCCCATTAACCAACCAACCAGTCTTAATGACCCTGGTGTAGTAGATAGACTTTAAACCCCATTAATCAACCAACCAGTCTTAATGACCCTGGTGTAGTAGATAGACTTTAAACCCCATTAACCAACCAACCAGTATTAATGACCCTGGTGTAGTTGATAGACTTTAAACCCCATTAACCAACCAACCAGTATTAATGACCCTGGTGTAGTAGATAGACTTTAAACCCCATTAACCAACCAACCAGTCTTAATGACCCTGGTGTAGTAGATAGACTTTAAACCCCATTAATCAATCTTATAATCATCAGTGTACTACAGACGGCGAACACAATACTCAGTAACTGTGTACAACAAGCAGTGATTACTGTACAGCCAGCCCTCCCTGGCTCCAGCCCTCCCTGGCTCCAGCCCTCCCTGGCTCCAGCCCTCCCTGACTCCACCAGCCCTCCCTGGCTCCAGCCCTCCCTGGCTCCAGCCCTCCCTGGCTGCAGCCCTCCCTGGCTGCAGCCCTCCCTGGCTCCAGCCCTCCCTGACTCCACCAGCCTCCTGGCTCCAGCCCTCCCTGGCTCCAGCCCTCCCTGGCTCCAGCCCTCCCTGGCTCCAGCCCTCCCTGGCTCCAGCCCTCCCTGACTCCACCAGCCCTCCCTGGCTCCAGCCCTCCCTGGCTCCAGCCCTCCCTGGCTCCAGGCCTCCCTGGCTCCAGCCCTCCCTGACTCCACCAGCCCTCCCTGGCTCCAGCCCTCCCTGGCTCCAGCCCTCCCTGCCTCCAGCCTTCCCTGGCTCCAGCCCTCCCTGGCTCCAGCCCTCCCTGGCTCCACCAGCCCTCCCTGACTCCAGCCCTCCCTGACTCCACCAGCCCTCCCTGACTCCAGCCCTCCCTGACTCCACCAGCCCTCCCTGGCTCCAGCCCTCCCTGACTCCAGTCCTCCCTGACTCCAGCCCTCCCTGACTCCACCAGCCCTCCCTGACTCCAGCCCTCCCTGGCTCCAGCCCTCCCTGACTCCAGCCCTCCCTGACTCCAGCCCTCCCTGGCTCCAGCCCTCCCTGGCTCCAGCCCTCCCTGACTTCACCAGCCCTCCCTGACTCCACCAGCCCTCCCTGGCTCCAGCCCTCCCTGACTGCACCAGCCCTCCCTGACTCCACCAGCCCTTCCTGACTCCACCAGCCCTCCCTGACTCCACCAGCCCTCCCTGACTCCACCAGCCCTCCCTGACTTCACCAGCCCTCCCTGACTCCACCAGCACTCCCTGACTCCACCAGCCCTCCCTGACTCCACCAGCCCTCCCTGACTCCACCAGCACTCCCTGATTCCACCAGCCCTCCCTGACTCCACCAGCCCTCCCTGACTCCACCAGCCCTCCCTGACTCCACCAGCACTCCCTGATTCCACCAGCCCTCCCTGACTCCACCAGCCCTCCCTGACTCCACCAGCCCTCCCTGACTCCACCAGCACTCCCTGATTCCACCAGCCCTCCCTGACTCGCTCCAGGAAGGCAGGGTGGCAGCACTCACACAGATGGCCCTCCCTGACTCGCTCCAGGAAGGCAGGGTGGCAGCACTCACACAGATGGCCCTCTGGGCCACCACTGTGACACTCCTCTTATTCTGACAAAATGTTAATGTTTTCAGCGGTAGTGTGTATGACCCTTCTCATGTGGCTTCTCATGGTGTGACCCTTACATGTGATCTCTCATGGTGTGACCCCTCTCATGTGACCTCTCACGTTGTGACCCTCTCATGGTGTGACCCCTCCCATCCTTAGACTTATGGTATGACTTCTCATGGTGTGACCCTTCTCAGTGTGATCTTCTAAGTGTTTCCGCTCATGGGGCATGTACTCACGTGTCCTGGAGTGGAGTAACCAGTCTAGAGTACACAAAGAGGTATGTACTCACGTGTCCTGGAGTGGAGTAACCAGTCTAGAGTACACAGAAGGGGCATGTACTCACGTGTCCTGGAGTGCAGGAGGTGCTGGAACGCCTGGATGCCGTCAATAACAGACCTTTTAAGTGTCTCTCTGCAGAGCTCACTAAACATGTTCCAGCTCACCATGATCTGCAGCTCACCAGGCCACACCAGGGTGCCCACGCTCTCCACCAGGACACACCAGGGTGCCCACGCTCTCCACCAGGCACCGTGGGCTGCCACTCTCACCTCTTACGCCCATGGGCGCCGCCCATGGTCCTCACACGCCCACGCATACACCCATATACACCTTCTATCATACGCCCTTCAATAAATTCTCTGAATATTGCATATATTTCTAGATTTTGCGAATTTTATCACGTACTTTCCAGATTTCACAAATTTTATCGTATCTAGATTTATTTCGTGAATTATCATTATTTTCTAGATTTATTTCGTGAATTATCATTATTTTCTAGATTTATTTCGTGAATTATCATTATTTTCTAGATTTATTTCATGAATTTTATCACAATTTCTTGATTTATTTCGTGAATTTCACTTAGGCAACGTTACCGCACATACGAAGCTATAAACGCGCATGGTTTATTCAACAATTATGTCGTCTTATCCAGTGTGAGTAATAAAATCGGTCGTCCTATCCAGTGTCAGTCATAAAATGGGTCGTCTTATCCAGCGTGAGTGATGGAATCAGTCATCTTATCCAGTGTCAGTAATAAAATGGGTCGTCTTATCCAAAGAGAATGGGTCGTATTATCCAGCGTGAGTAATGGATATTAATCATATTAATCAGCCATTATAAAGTCATTTTAATACTTTCAAAGAAGCACTAAACCAGTTGGGGCAATGGGAGTCCAAAGAGGTTTGATCTCTGGAAGAGAAGAACAGCTCAGATGCTCTGGATCAAGAACCCTTCACCATTAACTAGCTGCTGGGATTGATCTGTTACCTGTTATACTTGGTTATGGACCACTGAACCACTGCTGGTTCTGGACCACTGAACCACAGATGGTTCTGGACCACTGCTAATTCTGCACCACTACTAGTTCTGGACCACTGAACCACAGATGGTTCTGGACCACTGAACCACAGATGGTTCTGGACCACTGCTAATTCTGCACCACTACTAGTTCTGGATCACTGAACCACTGCTGGCTCTGGACCACTGAACCACTGCTGGTTCTGGACCACTGAACCACTGCTGGTTCTGGACCACTGAACCACTGCTGGTTCTGGACCACTGAACCACTGCTGGTTCTGGACCACTGCTAATTCTGCACCACTACTAGTTCTGGATCACTGAACCACTGCTGGTTCTGGACCACTGAACCACTGCTGGTTCTGGACCACTGAACCACAGATGGTTCTGGACCACTGAACCACAGATGGTTCTGGACCACTGCTAATTCTGCACCACTACTAGTTCTGGACCACTGAACCACAGATGGTTCTGGACCACTGAACCACTGCTGGTTCTAGACCACTGAACCACTGCTGGTTCTAGACCACTGAACCACTGCTGGCTCTGGACCACTGAACCAATGTACCAACTTGCCAGGAGATGGTACACTGTCTTCTTAGGTGAGTATTACACTATATCCAGAGTACCAAGAGGACAAGAGATGTACTCAAATGGAGAGAGAGAGAGAGAGAGAGAGAGAGAGAGAGAGAGAGAGAGAGAGAGAGAGAGAGAGAGAGAGAGGGAGAGAGAGAGAGAGAGAGAGAGAGAGAGAGAGAAGAGAGAGATAGTGACATTTGTCTCCCCCTTTCCTCCCCCCCACCCCGTCTGCACCCTTGTGTAGAACAAAAGAGGGGAAATGTCAGGTCCCTGAGCTAGAGTTTACCTCACTGCTAGTTTAACATTGCTACCCAGGCTAGTATACTACCTTCTACTACTCTCACAACCCCGAAACAAGGCTGGTTGACCACTTGACAAACCAGGCTGTTGGTTCTGGCAGCCCACAGGCCCATCTAGCCGTCAGACATACTAGCCCATGCTAGGCAGGTCTAACTCATGTGCCTACCCATAGTTCTTCTCTCTGATGTCTACCATTTAGAACCCCACCACCCACACACCCACCACCCACACACCCACCATCCACCCCCCACACCAACCACCCACACACCCACCACCCACACACCCACCATCCCACCTCCCCCACACCAACCACCCACACACCCCACCATCCACCCCCCACACCAACCCCACACACCCACCATCCCACCTCCCCACACCCAACCACCCCACACCCAACCCCACCTCCCACACAACACCACCACCACCTCCCCCACACCAAACCACCCCACACCACCCACCACCAACCACACTCAACACCCACCACCCCACACCCAACCACCCACACACCCACCCCCCACACCCAACCACCCACACACCCACCACCCACACACCCACACCACCACCCCCCCCACACCAACCACCCACACACCCACATCCACCTCCCACACCAACCACCCACACACCCACCACCCACACACCACCACCATCCCCCCACACACCACCACACACCCACCCACACACCCACACACCACCCCCCCACAACCCACCACACACCCACACACCACACCAACCACACCTCCCCCACACCAACCACCCCACACCCACCACCCCACCACCACCTCCCCACACACCAACCCCCCACACACCCACCACACACACACCACCACCCCACACCAACCACCCACACACCACCACCCCCACACCCACCTCCCACACCCACACCACACCACCCACCCCCCCACACCACCACCCCACACCACCACCCACACACCACCCCCCACACACCACCCCACCCCACCCACCACACCCACCACCACACACCCACCACCCCCACACCACCACCACCCACACCACCACACCACACCCACCACCCCCACACCCACCACCCCACACCACCCACCACCCACCACCACACACCCACCACCCCACACCCACCACCCACACACACCACCACCCCCACACCCACCACCCCCACACACCCACCACCCCACACCACCACCCCAACACCCCACACCCACAACCCCCCACACCCACACACCCCACCACCCCCACACCCACCACCCCCACAAACCCACCACCCCCACCACCCACCACCCCCACACCCACCACCCCCACACCCACCACCCCCCACACCCACCACCCCCACAACCACCACCCCCACACCACCACCCCCACACCCCCCCCCCCCACACCCCCCCCCCCCCCACCACCCCACACCACCACCCCACACCACCACCCCCACACCCACCACCCCCACACCCACCACCCCCACACCCACCACCCCCACACCACCACCGCCACACACACCACACCACCACCCCACACACCCACCACCCCACACCCACCACCCCCACACCCACCACCACCACACCCACCACCCCACACACCCACCACCCCCACACCCACACCCCCAACACACCCCCACACCCACCACCCCCACACCCACACTCCCACCACCCCCACACCCACCACCCACACAAACCCACCACCCCCACACACCCACCACCCCCACACCACCACCCCCACACACCACCACCCCCACACCCACCACCCCCACACACCCCACCACCCACACACCCACCACCCCACACCACCCCCCACCCCCCACCACCCCCACACCACCACCCCCACACCACCACCCCCACACCCACCACCCCCACCCCACCACCCCCACACACCCACCACCCACACACCCACCACCCACACACCCACCACCCACACACCCACCACCCACACACACCCACCACCCACACACCCACCACCCACACACACCCACACACCCACCACCCACACACACCCACACACCCACCACCCACACACCCACCACCCACACACACCCACACACCCATTATTCCCTCACACGTTTTCCAATAATTACATTTCTTCACCAGACTCTCATTTTTCTTGTTCTCTCGCGTCTTGACGAACAAAAGTGCGACCTTACAACCCTGTGTGTGTGTGTGTGTAGGGGGGGGACACACACAACTTCCACTGCTCAGTGTTACTCAAAGTTCCTTCAACTGTACTCCTCGTACTGCAGGCGATAAGGCTACATCAAAATCTACACCTGGAAAATCCAGGTTCCAAACGTCCACACAAACACAAGAAACTTGACAGAAGGTCCAAATTACCTTCACTAACAGTCAGGGTGGTGATGACTACACTAAGGTGAGTGTGAGGGGTCCCAGACTCTTCAACTCCCTCCCTCCCAGGGTAAGGGGCTACCAACAAACATCTGGGGTGTCATCAACTTCCTTAAGCTGTTGATCAGCCAAGCTGTGGGTCATACAACAGACTGCAGGTAGCCAGCAGTAACAGCCTCGTTGATCAAGGGAAGGCAACATAAACCACAGTAGACTCTGATATAACATAAACCACAGTAGACTCTGATATAACAACATAAACCACAGTAGACACTGATATAACAACATAAACCACAGTAGACTCTGATATAACATAAACCACAGTAGACTCTGATATAACAACATAAACCACAGTAGACTCTGATATAACAACCCTAAACCACAGTAGACTCTGATATAACAACATAAACCACAAATAGACTCTCAATAACAACATAAACCACAGTAGACACTGATATAACAACATAAACCACAGTTTGACACTGTTTTAACAACATAAACCACAGTAGACTCGGATATAACAAAAATAAACCACAGTTTGACTCTGATATAACATAACCACAGTAGACTCTGATATAACAACATAAACCACAGTAGACTCTGATATAACATAAACCACAGTAGACTCTGATATAACAACATAAACCACAGTAGACTCTGATATAACATAAACCACAGTAGACTCTGATATAACATAAACCACAGTAGACTCTGATATAACAACATAAACCACAGTAGACTTTGATATAACATAAACCACAGTTAGACTCTATTAACATAAACCACAGTAGACTGTATAACATAAACCACAGTAGACTCTGATATAACATAAACACAGTAGATCTGATATAACATAAACCACAGTAGACTCTGATATAACATAAACCACAGTTTGCTTTTGATATAACATAAACCACAGTAGACTCTGATATAACATAAACCACAGTAGACTCTGATATAACATAAACCACAGTAGACTCTGATATAACATAAACCACAGTAGACTCTGATTAACATAAAAACCCCAGTAGACTCGATATAACATAAACCACAGTAGACTCTGATATAACATAAAAACCCCAGTAGACTCTGATATAACATAAACCACAGTAGACTGATATAACATAAACCACAGTAGACTTGATATAACATAAACC